GTCCAGTAACAGGCGATCTGGCTACCCCTGAAATTAGTCGGAAAGCATTCCAAATTCGGGACAGACAGTGTGGTAGCCCTTCGGAGAGTAGTCCACTCTAAAGCACTTTGGTGCGTTTCTACCGGAGCTGACCGGATCAGCCGATAGGGTTTATAAAAAAAAAAAAAAAAAAAAAAAAAAAAAAAAAAAAAAAGTAAAAGCGTTTGGTTGTTGGCAAAAATAAAAGATTGGACTTCCGAAAGAGAAAGTTCACGCGTATGAGAAATTATTTCTTTCCTCAGCTTACTATTTATTTATTTTTCTGTTAAACTATGAAAATTCCTAACTTTTGTTCCATAATCTTTTTTGGTATCCGGAATTAGCTTTTAGTTCCAATCTTATTTAAACAATGTCTCTCCTTTTGAAAAGTGAATTGAACCTCGAACACAAGAATGTTTTTAGCTTACTATTTGTTGGTACTAGTCTTTTAATAAAACGTTTTGGACAGTCTTTAGCAATCAATCCATACTATATGCATTCAACTAGAATCACTATATATATGTATTTTCGACATCTATCCAATTTATCATGTACTCTTTTTTTTCTTCCTAATTCCATCCGAGTTATAAAATTCTGCTTAATTAACCAAGCTCAATATATTGATTGCGATTTAAAATCTCTATAATTGCGATTTAAAATCAACGATCGTGTTCATTATTTGAGTAAACCCGATTTTAAAATCTTAATTCGGCCAAGCTTTCAATGTGTTTTTGACATGTTGTTGAGAAGATTTTAAAATTGGGTTTACTCAAATCGCGAAATAGTGAACGCGAATTATTGATTTAAATCGCAATTACATAAATTAATTGAATTTGGTTTATTGGGTAAACTTTTATAAATTGGGTAAAATTAGGAAAAAGAAGAAGAGTATATAGTGAATTGAGTAGAGGAAAAGTACATAATAATCTTAGTTGAATGCATATAGTACATGTGGATTGCTACATGCAGCACTAAAATTTTTAATAGTATCAGTTAAACGATTAATTCACCCTTTTTGAGTTTTGTTACAAATATGTTTTTTTTTTTAATATAAAAATTGACATGGTTTGTAATTGTATATTTCGTGAAACACTTTTAACCAATATCTCAGGTAGAAAAGTTTGACATTATAAAAAATTTTCTTTATCATACTAAGTTAAATGATATAATCTAAATAAATAATCCGGAAGTTTATCCAAACCGGATAGAAAACAAAAACACATCATTGCAAATTACTCTTAATTTCTTAGCATTAACTTTTCTGTACATTCATTTCATGTGGAAAGAAACTCAAATACATTGGTGAATGGTGATTGTCATAAAGTTATAGAACAATCCTCTACCCTATTTGACTAATCGTTTTGAACTTTCGATTTTTCTTCGTTATTTCCTACGGAAAAAAGGACGTTTAAACGCGTCGGTGTTGACATATTATTTATTTATTAGTAAAAACAAAAGATGCCTCGTGTGTTTGTTGAGTTTTCCCTTTTACGTACAAAGAGAAAGTGTGATTATATATATAAAATGAAGAATATATCATAGTCAAACAAATCATGATTGTCAACACTTAATAAATTTATTGTTTATATCCTAAGTAAAACCGTGTATCATATAACAGTAACACTTCATATCTAAACTAAACTAGCTATTTTGAGATTATCAATTTCAATGTGTACACATGCATTATTTTCTATCCTTATTTGATATACATAAAATATATTGGTTTCTCTCCATTGGTGATATAACATATATTATTTAAGCAAAATTTTCCAAAACAATTGTCAAAATTATCAAGTTCGTTTTTGGTCGAGTGCATGGTTTCTTTGAAAAAAAACAATAACACTGATAAAGATATCTTTAGTGCAAGTATACTTTCGATAATGGATCTAAATGGTAACCGATGAATTTTGCTGAATTTGGCTGAATTGTTGAATTCAGTTTAATATATTTTTGTTTTTATGCATAATCTTGCTGAATAATTAGTTCAAATGGTAACAACTGAATATGTCTAATTTTTTTTAAATAAGTAAACAAATAAAACCTACATCATGCAATAAATATTGTTCCCATTTCTTCAACTAACGATTAAAGAAATACTTGTTGTTAACATCCAAAGTCTTATTCAATCACATTCGATATTTTTAATACGAAAGTGAGAACTGAAAACCTACAATAAAAAGACAATGCAAGGCTAGTTAAGAGTGTTGAAGTTTCATATTTTCAAGAGTCCCTGTTATCAGCCATCACTATTACAAATATATAACTGTATTGAACAAAAAAAACTTCGAGAAGATTCAAATATATTTTTTAAATATAAAAAAAAAACCTTAACAAGAAGAAAAGGCGATGATGAACCGCACACAATAATTTTAATGTCCAAATATAAACCAAAGTACACACTAATTATGCAATATGTTAATATTTTAAGATTTATATATTGCGAACATATTATATTTTTTTTATCATTTGCTTTGACAAAATTTGATCTATATCTCCTTTTCTACTATGGATGATAGCAGAGGCGGATCTACCTTAGTTTACATGGGGGCAGTTGTCACCCCTAAACTTTTGAAATCTTTTGAGAGATTTAAGGAATTAATTTTATTGCCCCCAATAAAAAATCTCTCTTGCCCCCGTTAAATTTGTGTTTTCCAAAAATCTCTCCTCACGTTATCTAAAAAGAAAGGTAAATGGAGATTGTATATCGCTTATCCCCTATAATTTAGCTAAATAGTAAATTCCTTACAATTTAAATCCCAATCCAAATGTGACAACATAATCTAAATGCATAGACCATACGTCCATACCATTTATTCCTTTTGAATCAACTAAAAATTTAATGTTTAAAAATTTCGTCTCTTCCCAATAGCTTTAGTGGTTTATAATTATGGTAATTGGTTTCTCTATAATATTTCTATGCATTGTACTCCAAATATTTGAGTTTTCTATAAAACAATAAATTAAAACATTAACACAAAATCTAGTAAATTTAAATTTTAAATCAAACTAAATATGACAATTCAAAATCTCTAACTTTTTCATATTTCTCTTTGATTCGTTTAAACTTAAATTATTTTTAATAAAAAAATAGTATTAATTTAACTTATTCTATATTATAATAAATTAAATATATCATAAATAACATGGAAAAAACTATATTAAATATTTTTGTATTTATTACTATACACATTTTTTTTTTCGTCGAATGATATCATTACATATTTATTTTTATATAAAATATAATACTCTATTTTATAAATATAGTTCGCCCCCTATAAAAAAATTTCCTGGATCCGCCACTGATGATAGTGCGATTGTAGGAGTCGAACACCGATAAAAACAACCGCATAAATGAAATATAAATTTTTTTTCCTTTTTTTAAATATAGATATTTTCAGTAACATCAAAGTTCACATTTATGGAGTTTTTTTTATTTCTTGTTGGACGGAAATAAAAATACATTGGTGATTGCCTTTAAGGTTACCATACCCTACTTGACAAATTATAGTATGATATTTTCTTGGTTCTTTCCGAAAAATAAAGATAGTCTTGGTTACAGTTAATTGAACTAGTGTTGACAAATCATATGCCATTGACATTTGACCACAAATTAGCAAACGGTGGGCGCGTATTGGATAAATTAGCCCCTCCTTTTGGAAGTTTGACTCCTTGACCGTACACAGCTTTTTTGTAACTTGTATTTAATTTCAGCAATACTTAATCATTTATTTGACTTTCTCATGAACCCACACACGTGTGTATATTTTTTGTTAGTTTATAGTATTTTATTGTCACCTAGGCCATATGGTTAATATTTGTTTCTGTCCCATTTTATAAGATATTTGGATGAAAACATGCATATATTAAAAGAGTTATATATAATCCAACCAATCATATAAAACACGGTAGTATATAAATGTTTATAAAATATATAATAAAAATAAATTTTGTATAGAAACTTGTATAACATCTAATAAAATTAAAAAAATTAAAAAACAAAAGCCAACATTTGATAAAATGGGACATATGTATAACATACTCTATTTATTCCATAAAGCATTGTTTTAGGTTTTTCACACATTAAAGTTTTATTTGTATAGAAAATGTTTCACACGAAATTCTGTATATTTAGCTATCTAATTAAAGGAATTAAATAAATTTAAATTGTCCTTATGTTTTTATTAAAATTATAAAACAATAAAAAATTATATATTTATGAAACAAGTAAAATGTTATATTATGTTGAAGTTGGGTATGAGGTTTTTTTTTTATATAACTAATGGTATCCAGAATTTTACCACCCAACTAATCTCTTAGGGTGAGTGTAGATGTCGAGTAATACATTCATTGAGTTTTCTAAAGAGCTTAAGAATGTCACTATTTGGACTTGTCAAATGGAATGGTAATTTAGTAAATCTATAGATTAGATCTAGACATCTAGTGGGCGAATCCTCCTCAAGTATAAGCCACCAGACCAATACTATTTGTTACGAAGTATTTTCAGGTAATCTACATTCTATCGAGGCAGATGAGTAAAGAATTAGGTCGAGAGAAACTTTGAGAGTACAAGAAGGATAGTTATTATTATCAAAATCTATGCATGCATACGTGATATACAGGATACATGCATATATTAAAAACATGTCTTTCATAAACTTGTAATTTAGATATTGATGCGAGGGTATTCACTGACATTATGAACACACATTTTCTCTGCCAAATCTTCTCTAACAGACATATAATGGCAAATGGTGTGATCATCTATCTAACTACCTAATTCTTGCCTAAATAATTTTGCAAAAAAAGAAAAACAAATCTCTGCCTAAATATAACTCCAACTTGTATTATTATATTATATAACCGAAGATTACGTTAATAATAAAAATAGTTAAGCAGATCTTATCATTTCCGTGACACACACTCAAGTGTCAGACGGAATAACCCATTTTGATTGTACATTATATCTTCAACGAGCCAAATAATTGAAACTTGAAAATTGAAATTTCTATTCTTTTCAACGTGTACAAAATAATAAATGAATAAATAAAATCAATTTTAGTAACACACACATTCACACAATTTCCTCTCATTTTCAATTTCTATCCAATACTGTAAATAATTAACAATTAGGCCTTACTTCAATACCATCAATCACAATTCCACCTTTAAGTTGATATCCTTTCACCTCCGTAAGAATCATATTGACCTCATCATCTTCTCCTTCTCGTGTCTCAAACTTTCCTAACTCAATCTCCATCCAACCGTCGTCTCTACCTTTTGGTTCTCTCCTTTTCCAGTCTCCGCCTACCGTTTCCACAGTCATCGCCATTCGTTCTTCTCGGTTTCCGTAAAATAACCGCTTCATTTGTTGTTTCTTCTCATCCAAGCAACATAAATAAGTTGTGTTCTTAATATTTTGACCATTCTTAGATTTTACCGAAGTCTCCGCTGGAACTAGGTCTAGTCCGTAAGCACCTTTAGTGACTTTCATTATGAGATATGCTCCGTATCTTGTGTTTGGTGACAAAACTCCGGTTTGAATTTTACCCTTGATTTCTAATCGATCTGTTGTTATAAGTTCAGCTGACTCCGAAAATCTGAAAAATATTTAAACTATATATTGTTAATAGTGATTAATAAAAAAATTGAAACATTTTCAGTAAATGTATACAAAGCAGAAATTATATAGTTATTGTAAGAAAAGAAAAAAAACTGACCTAGAATCTGAGACATTGCTCCAAGACCAGTAAGATGCATGGTCACTATGTGTTATGGAAATATCTCTTGCTGATAAAATGTAGGAAATTTTCCCGGAAAATTTATTGATCTTGAAGAGCTGAAATTACATCATACACAAAAGATACTATAAGTTCAAGTAGTTAAAAAGAAATCCATTTCTTCTATTTTAAATTAACTCATGAAAATCGAACCTTTCGAGCATTATCGATGAGAAGAGAGTCACACAAACATCGATAAATCTCCTTTTTGGAAGAAAAACTCCTATGATGATCAGTGGATTGAGAAATGATGCTTTGGTAATCTGAAGGCAAAAACTTTCCCCATACGAAATCGGAGTCTCCGGCTAACCGGAAAACCGAAGAGACTTCCGACGAAGAGAATGCATCCGCCGGAGATGTGAAGGCAAGGATGTTGGCTACACATGCTTCTGGTAACATCATTTTCTTCTTCTTTATTGGCAGAGTAAAAAATTAATGATTAATCTTCTGAAAGAGAAAGGTACTGAGTTTTCAAAATTTGAAGAATTTTTTTTGGTGATATTATTGGATTTGCTGTGATTTTTTGTAGCTGTGGTAGATGAGTTATGCTTGGAGATAGAGATGGTGAGTATATATAGTGATGCTTGGCATATTTCTGCTGACCATTTTAGACCAATGGTCAAATATTATGGATTTATATATTATTTATTTGGAAGCTTATAGCTTCAAAGTAAAAGACTAAAAGTTTTGGTCGTTGGCCAAAAGTAAAAGATTGGCCCTCCAAAACATAAAATTCACGCGTAAGAGAAAATAGTGTTATCCAATTCACTCATATGCACGTTGATAGTTTTTTACTTTTTTCGTTTAATAAAACGTTTAAAGAGGTTTTGATAGAAATAAAACGTGTAGCGATTACTAGTTTTAGATAAAGAAAACGTTTAGAGACTTATGAGTAGCGAGACTAAATGTTTTTTTTTTTGGGGTTTAAAAGTCATGTCTTTGAAAGCAATGCATTTTTTTTTTGTTTCTTCACCATTTTTCCAAAAAACATAAGTCGTTTTTCTTTTTAATTCATGATTTTCGTTTTCAATCAAATTTTGAACCAACTCTAAAATATTTTATAAAAGACCGGAATCTCTTTGGGGTCGTTTTAGCTTAGATCGAATTTGTCATATCGAACATCCAAATTATATACTTTTATATGCAAGTAAATTTGTGAGTTATATGAAAAATACACTTGCAATCTAGTAATAGACGACAAACAAACAAAAAAGTAGTTAAATCTAACAAATAGTACTATCTCTTTACTAAATTTAAATTGTGTCCCCTCTTGGAAAACAGTATTTCTAGTCTCGATTTAGTTTTTAAATCAGTTCAAAAGCAAACAAATTGGTTTAAATCAATGCTTACGTACTGTGTACCGTTAGACATATGACGAATATTGATTCTCATCCACTAGGAGACTAGGACCACTGGACCACTGGACCACTGGACCACTATAATAATTTATATATTTTGTGTGTTAACTTGCTATTTGTCTTGATTTCTGAAATGAATACTTCTCTAATACTAATAGTTATGAACCAAGTCCCTTTGGTCTACCGGTAAAAAAAAGAAAAGTTTCTGTCACCTATGTTCGAATAGCATTAGTCACCGTCGTTCGAATTCTAAAATGGGTTTTCCGGATCCCAGAATTAGTCTTTGGACGTAGAAAGCAGTTAGGATCACCTGAATTATATAAAATAATAATAATACTAATAGTTATGAGCTTTTTGGAATTTTTTTAGTTGTATTCCAGGGAGTTAATATTTTCAAAACGTGTTTTAAAAAAATTTAGAAAATAAAAAAGATTTGTATGTGTGTTTTAATTGATAATTGGTTTTGTTGTGTTTTGCTGTCTATTTTGATAATAATAAAGTTTAACCAGAGAACGTGTAGTGTAGACTATTTTCCTTCAAACTTACAAGTCGGCACGTGATCTATTGATAGATGAAAGGAAAAATAAGCAAATCATAAATGTCAAACAATTAATTTTAGTGTTTTTTTTTTCTCACGGTTTTATTATAAGTATCATTTAAGTTTTTATTATGAGTACAATCTACGCATAAAATTTTTATTTTTAATATAAACCACAAATGCACAAACAAACGTAATAGTATTTAGAAAAGTGGTCCAATCATCCTCACTAATTAATAGCCTAAAAAAACCTAATTCTGTCGAATAGATAATTTTTTTATAACATTATTATTTTTCTTGTCTAAAGTCTCATTTAATCACATTCAATATTTTTAATACAGTACTAAAGTGAAAACTGAAAACCTAAATAAAGAAGATGATACAAGGCTAATTAAGAGTGTCGGGGTTGCTTATTTTCAAGAGTCCCTATTTTCAACTGTCCTTATAACAAAATAGAGACTATTACTACAACGAACCAATACACATTACACATTAATTATCATTTTTTTGTAATCTTGTTTTTTGGTCAACAAAAAGAAATCATTTTTTTGTATTCATATTTTCTTTTTTCAGTATGAGTTAACATTTCAGAGAAATTTGTATCCTGTTGGCCAGAGATCAAAATACATTGGCGATTGCCTTAAAGTCACCATACCCTATACCCTTGTTGACAAATTATTACACGACTATTTCTTGGTTATTTCCGAAAAAATAAATAATACATATGCCATTGAGAAATGGTACTATAGGCTTATTAGGTGATAATTAGCCCCTCCTCTTGACCGTACATAATTATGTGTAAACTCATATATTAATCCAAAGAAACACTTAATCGATCATATAACTTTCTCATAAACAAACACATGTGAGTATATTTTATTCAAGAAACATTTTTTCGGGTTCAAAATCATCAAAAAAGATTATAAATAATAAATATAGTACTCCTTTGTCATTTTTTTAAAAATTCTATCATGTATTAATAGAAAAAAGTTTTCAAACAAAATTATAATTATTCTTAAAATATAATTTCATAAAAAATAAAATCAATATTTTAAATGAATAAAAATAATAAAAGTAAAGAAATAAATACTTTAGAAATTATGAAGTATTTAATATAATGAAATCGAAAATCCGTAATTAATCTGCAAATTTTTACATTATAAAATTATAACAATGTTAATTCTTACAAAAATAATTAATAAAAAAGCTATTGATGTATGAAACGCGGAAAATTTTATCTTGTTTTTATATATATGTTTAAGGAATGCAACTTAAAAGTACTTCAAATTATATAATTTTGACAGTCTGAAAACAATGATGAGGCACATTCTTGGTGTCTCTGCACCAATGAAAAATGCGCCAAAAAGGTTGATACAAAATATATATAAAAACAAGATAAAATTTTCATGATTTACCAATTTCGCATGTGGAAGGATATCAAAAATGTTGATCCACAAAAAATGAATGTTTCAAAAAGGGTTTTGTGTAGAAAAATCCTCAAAGTCGCCACCTCCGAAAAATGCAGAATAATCCTATGAATTCAAAAATAATATGCAATATACCCATTTTTTGCTATTGTCAAGTTTTTAAAAATTTGATAAGTAATATATCAAATCGAAGCCCTCGACAAGAGAAGTTGAACTCGACCTTCAGATTTTTAAAAAGAAATGTATGTGATCGTGAATACGTTTACAATATATGTATAAGGGTTATATTCCGTATTATTTTTGACTTTGTAGGATTATTCTGTATTTTTTGGAGGTGAAGGGTGAAGTTACAAAAATGGACGATTTTGAGGTTTTTTTGCACAAATGGATGCAGTGGCAATCCAAATGAGGATGGAGTGGTGTTATTTCAATCATTAAAAGAATCACCACAGATGTATAACTTTGAGAGTAAAGGTTTCAAAGCTGCTTAAGCGCACGTATTTGATGCAATTATCTTTCTAAATGTGCAAGGAATAAACTATAAGAGCAAGCACAACACTGAACAACATCAACTACATTAAGTTCTAGTGGCCAAGAGGCAAAAAGGTTGGTGTTATTTAGTTAAAAGTCGCCTAGTGGCCAATAGACAAAAGGGTTGGTGTTATTTAGTTTTGAATGCCTAAATTTGGGTCAAATTTTGGGTGTTGATTAGGTTCTACACCAAAAATTGAGTCCTTTCACATTGAAAGATCCTGTTTCTTTGCTTAAGGGTTAGTTATTGACTCGAAGTCGCTAATCATTAACATTGTTACTATATTAATTGACTTTATTTTTAAAACCATTGTTGACTTTTCTGACATCTCCATAGCCGCCAAAACTCATGGTCACCTAGACATAGCCGCCAAATTCTTCTCGACTTGAGGAAAAAGAGTAAAAGATTTCTCTATGTTCGAAGTATGTATTTGCAATTTTAGAAAAACGGAATTACTTGAGCTAATTCACCATCGAAAACCGACCGGTTTAACCAACTTACCAAACCAGATTCCCTCCCGGTTAGCCAAATTCAAACACATTCGTTTCAGAAAATTACTCATATGAAAAAGCAGACCAAAACAAATCCACCAATTCTAAGATTCATCTACAAGTGAAAGACAAGATAATAAAGGAACAAAATATGAAAATGTGGGTGGGTTATGTTACTTGGATAGCAACTGATAATTAGCTTTATTCAACCATATTGCTGTTGCCTTCTTCTTTTAGAAATTGTCTTAGGAGTTCAACTGTTTTACGGTAGAGGTTCATATCGATTCCATCCACATTTCTTCCTGTTCGAGCCTGCAAGATCGCCTAAAGAAATCGATACATGGATCACTTTTCAGATTCGTTAGCTATTAAAGACAATAGTATCAGTTTGAAACTAAGTTAAACCTGAAATGGTTACTACTCTCTATTGCTAACATATACTCATAGATAGAAAAATCGAATTTAAATGGACAAGTTTCCCATCCGACCTCTTAACAATGGCTCATCAATATCAGAACTTTCATAGTATACATAAATAGTTTAACTGAGATGCTGAAACTACATCTTCTTGGGAAATTGTGTTCCATGTAAAGTTCGAAAATTTAACATCTTACTAAACTAAACTTTGTGAAGATCTCTCAACTTGCATTTAAGAAACGTTAAATCTTCTACAAAAGCAATGTTCTAACTTGAGGACTTGCCATTTGATAAAATTGAGCTCCCAAGACCTATTCTTGTTCTACAAAAGCAATGATCTTGTTTTGTCTAAACTCTGTAAAACAACTAACCTCATTATTGGGCTCAATGTGAAGCTCTCCAATAAACTGATAAATGGAGCCAACCCTGAAACTAATATCTCGTAGGTTCTGAGTATTGATTTTAAGACTTTTGCCTCCATCTTCAATAACACCTATAGCTGTTTCAACTGAATATCCACTCAACCTACAAAAACAAAACATCATCATCGTTCTCTAAACAACAAGTTCTGACCAATCTCAGTCTATGACATTGAAACCAGAGTAAGCACAAACTCACATTCCTGTAACTCTAAGTGAAACAGCTTCCTTGTAAAACTGAGAAGAAGGATAAAGCTCTTGTAGAGTAATGGGAACACCGGGTTCGATTCGAGTATTCGCCATCGATTTTTATAGTTTCAACAAAACGCCAAAACCCTAAAATCTGATTCCTATCAATGTCAAAAGGGTTTGAGGTTTCTATGCAATCAGAACATAAAAATTGGAACTTTCAGTGAAAAAATTGAGGAAGAAACTAAACCTGACGTAGATGCGAAAAGGGTTTTGTTTCGTGCTTCACTAAAATCTCCGACGAGGCTCAATAAACAGAGGCTTTGTGTTGAGTAACGCCGGCGAGGAGAAAGATCTGTCGTTGTTAAATCGACGATTGATACGACGCCGTTTTGGGTTAACGAGAAAAAGAAAATAAATCTGATTATATGTTGCAGATGTATTAAACGGGCTAAAATTTATATGGGCCGAAATTTTTTATTAAGGCGTTGAATGTAAAACCTCTATAAATTAATAAGGGAGACTTACAAAAATACCATTTTTTTTCAATATCCTTTTTCAAAAATACATCATTTGGCTGTTTATTTTTAAAAATACCTTTTTTTATGTATAAAATGACTAAATTACCCTTCTTTAAATAAAAGATATCACAAATATATAAGGAAAACATGAGAATGTGCACACATCAAAATTACAAATTTGATTTTGTAAAAACTTGTAAAACCTTTAAAATACCTTGTAAAATTTTCCCGTAAAAATTTTTCTCACCAAAAAATTTTTTTTGCGGGAAAAGTGATTCAGCAATTTTTTTGGCGTTAAATTTTTGGCGGGAAAAATTTACAAGGTATTTTACAGGTTTTTACAGGGTATTTATAAGGTTTTACAATGTATTTTAAAAGGTTGCACAGCAGCATGTTTACCTCATA